CAGGGCTCCCACTGCCATCTGCAAACAGGATGTAGAAAGGGGCCAGCTCAGCTCTCAGGGTGCTGCCTGTCTGGAACACACTCCCTGCTGCCAGCTGGACTAAGTGTTTTAAGTTAGCTAGGGAAGCAGGTAAGCCCCTCAGCCCACAAATGGAAGGTGCAGGAGCAGGCAGGGGCTACAGCTGCGTTCTCCACCCAGCAAGGCAGCAGAGGCTGTCTGGATCAGGGCAGTGCCATGCCACCCAGGGAAAGATGACCATGGTGCTGTCCCTCCATACCAGGACGAAGGGGAGCAATTCACATGCCCACTCAATGGTTCCCTGCTGCCTGGCGTGGAATGACTGCAGCAGCCAGCATGAAGTGACTGTTCTGTCCCAACCAGGGGGACTGGCTCAGTTGAGAAACGAAAGTGCATGTGCCACAAGAGCCCTGTGATGATACAGCTCTCGGGAGACTGCCTGAGCTTTCCCCTGAAAGGGGCCCCAGCAGTAGTTCCAGCCCAAGGCACCGCTCTGAGAGGGACCAGCTTGAGGACGAAACCCCACAGCACCGTGTCCCTACCACATTCACCCTGCAGGAAGCTCCCCCTGGGTGTGACCTGCCTTCTGGCACGCTCCTCCCTCCCCCAATGACTGCAAGGAGACAGAGTCCGGTGCCACATGTTTATTTTGAATAGTGACGGCGGGTTAGGGGACATGGGAAAGCTACGACGTTTCACAGGGATGCCAGCTGCCAGGCACTCCCTCCCAGCTGCTCACCCCCCAGGATGCCTGGTGCAAGAGGCAGCCTTTCCTCCTCTCCCCAGCCCAGGAGCCCGCCTCACTGCAGTACCCCAGGAGGAGCGACAGACAGGCCCTGGACTTTGATTGGTCTACCAGGCACATGGGCACAGCCAGCCAGACCATCCACCAGCCAACAGTTACTTTTGCCCACTTAGGAGAGGGGGGCAGGCACGAGGTGGAGACCAGTAAAACCCCGCCTCTGGAAAAGGCTCCCTGCCAATCAGAATCCAGCAGGGTGACAGCGGTTAGCAGCAGCAGGACCGATTACAGTGAATGGGGCAGAGGAGTCATGGGTGAGGCCATTACAGTGAGGGGATCGTAGGGGTGAGCTTCCTTCCCCTCCATGATGGCTCCCCCTTTTGGGCTATAGGGGTAGGTTCAGTGTTTTGCATTGATGATGTCCAGGAATTCAGGCTTGAGGGAGGCTCCGCCCACCAGGAAGCCATCTACATCATGCTGGGAGGCCAGTTCCTTGCAGGTGCCACCAGTGACTGAACCTATCAAAGGAGGAACAATTCCAAACACCGGTTAGACACCCCATGGTGACTGCCAGGGGCAGGATGGGGAAAGGGTTGGTTAGCTGTGCAGATGGGGAATAGATAGAAGCGGTTGTACCCTGTCTACTGGGAAGGGTAACAGACTGAGTGGTTAGTTCACTGCCCCCCCCCCCCCAACCCCAAAGAGGGTCCCGGAGCTCAGGAAACAGAAAGGGGGGAGTGGGGAAGTGAAGCATGTCCCTTTAGTTAGTCAATGGAAAGCTGGTTGTGCTATTGAAGAGTCCTATTTCACTAGACAGGTGGTGAAGCACTGGGATGGGTTACCTAGGGAGGGGGTGGAATTTCCATCCCTAGAGGAGTTTAAGTCTCGGCTTGACAAAGCCCTGGCTGGGATGATTTAGTTGGGGTGGCCCTGCTTTGGGCAAGGGGCTGGACTCAATGACTCCTAAGGTCTCTGCCAGCCCTGGGGTTCTGGAGTGGGGGGAGGGGGGAGGGAGAAGCTACAGCTGGTATCATTAATAAACAACACCCCCTCCCCCCCCAAGAGCAACTGCGCTTTCCAGTCAGAGGTCCCAAAGGGCTTTTCAAAAGCAGCAAGTTTCATTATCCCCATTGTACACATGGGGCAGCTGGGACATGGGGTGAAGGGACCTGCCCAAGGTGACCCAACAAGTCAGTCAAGGAGTAAGGAATCAAGTCCCAGAGCCTCTTATCATTAATAAACAACACCCCCTCCCCCCCCAAGAGCAACTGCGCTTTCCAGTCAGAGGTCCCAAAGGGCTTTTCAAAAGCAGCAAGTTTCATTATCCCCATTGTACACATGGGGCAGCTGGGACATGGGGTGAAGGGACCTGCCCAAGGTGACCCAACAAGTCAGTCAAGGAGTAAGGAATCAAGTCCCAGAGCCTCTGTCTATTGGGGAGGGGGGGGGGGGG